GAACGGCCCGCCGCCCACGTGACGTTTACGCGAAATCAAAAAAAAAAAAAAAAATGAAATGAAATTTCAAACAAAATTCGCGTTTCTTCCGTATCAAATTTTTTTTTCTCACACACATACACACATATATATACGTGTACATAACATATTTAATTATTATATCGTATCGTCGTTTTATTATTATTATCATTTTTTACTGTCGTAATCGATGTTCTCCCCGATCGTGTGCGAATCGGAAAATCGCGTATACAACTTGCGGAGCGCGCGCGCGCGCGAACGGCCGGAAACCGCCCGCGGGGTGTGTAACGATAATTAAAAATTATCGCGTGGAAAACGGTTTTGCCGGCCGCCCGCCGCCCGCCCAATGCGAATTCAACATTCCTACATAACAATTATTATTTTATTTTAACTTTTTTTTTTTTTAGAATATATAAATATTATACGTACATATTTATATATTTGTATTATTATTATTATTATTATTATTTTTTTTTTTACAAATAATTTATGCTTTCTATTATATTATTATTATATTACAATTGAATATAATATTATTATATTAATATCAATATCAATATATATATGTGTATCGTAGCATTTTTTTTTTTTTTTTCTAAATAGCATTTCAACAAACTCGGAAAATGACGAAAATCATTTAATCTCGTATTAACACGTATTATTTATAATACGGACGGTTTTCGAAAGTTATTTTATTTTAATATTTTTGAAAATTTTCTCTTCTCGTAGTTTTTTTTTTTTTTTTCAATATTAACATAATATCTATAATATTTTTTGAACGGTTCGTGCATTTTAAAAAGAAAATTCGTTTTACCATATTTGTATTGGAACCGCCTACAAGACTGCAACGCTATTATTTTGATGATCATATTATTATTATTTTATTTTATTTTTTTTTTTTTTTGAAACGCCCAATAAAAGAACTACACCGCCAATGTTATACTATTAATGTTTGAAGTTCGTTTTTTGAGTCATTGAATAATCGAACGTCTACTGCATTTTCTCAACCCGACATAATGTACGGTCATCGATTTATATAATGTTTTTGTTTTTCCTATGAAGTACACATATACTGTTACTTTTTTGTATGTTCATTGCATGTTACCAAAATATTTTTAACACAAAGAAGTACAAAAACTGAAAACTAATAATACTGTTCGTTTGGACAGTTGTTTGTTTTTTTTTTTAATTTTTTTTTTATTTATCCATAAAAGAACTATGTCTTCCGCGGTGTTTTCAGTCACTGTTATTTTAAAACATTATTTTGTATCGGTCAGAATGCATCATAATAATAATAATAATAATTTGTTAGGTTAGGACATTGGTTTTATAATATAATTTTTATAGAAAATCATTAGCAGTAATTTACAATACGTTTCCGATGACAATCTAACGTAGTGATATAATTATTACTATTCGGTTTTTTTTTTTTTTTTTATTAACATAAGTTTGTAAAAAATTACTATCTATTCATTATTTATATTATTTATATAATAATTGAACTTTACCGTGTGTCTGTATAAAATATCATAACAGTTATTTATTCGGAATTTGTTAATTGTTTTTTCAATGTATACCGGTAATAGTTAATAATATTTCCATTACTTGTGCCCGTGCTGTGTATTCGGTGGACAGAGCCAGTGCCGCTGCGAGTATTTTTTGACGCCGACCGATTTAGAGACCAAAATTTTATTTTAAAATTCATCATTACTCTAAATCTATGAGTTTTAATCACCGATTAAAACTCGGAAAATAATTAATAATTTTATTCTCATCATTATCTCTAATGACTAAATTCTGTTTAAAACAATGGGTATTAAATGTACAGACCTTTTGACCTCTGGTTCGCCCCCTCGCGCAATCGTGGCATTGGATGTAACTAATAATTATTACATGGTCTCAATCAATACGTCAAACGCGTGTGCAATCTGGCTTTCTGTAAACCCGCAATTTCATCCATCTATATTGTACACAAAAACTCGATAACAGCAATAATTTTTTTTTTTTTTTTTTTAATCTCAATAATTTGTCTAGTCTTTTTTTTTATGTTATTTATGTACAATGTTATATATTATTGTCTGTTCATATTGGAATGGATAGTAATATTTTTTATTTTTAAAAAAAAAAAAAATATTTGTCAAAGAAGATTATAATGTTTTATTACAATGATAATATTATTATGTTTGCGGGCAAATAGCATTTAACATATTATTATTGAACGAATATTTATGTAACTAGATACTAAGTATAAAACTTTTTTTTTTTTTTTTTTTTTT